TATCTATGAGTACTCTGGTTGATCTTGTGCCTTTATTTTGTGTATTGCGTCTCCGTTAGAGGTGTTCTTATTGGGGTGTATCCTAACAACTGGTATCAGAGCCTGACTTAGAGTATATATATCTGCTTATCGTATGCTCTGTGGCTACCACTAAAAGTGGATCCTCCACATCAGAAAATAAGTTAGATTAATATTTACTCTTTTAAGGCATTGGACACTATTCACGTGTACGGTACTATTCACGTGCACAGCACTATTCACGAATAAGGTACTATTCACGAATACGATACTATTCACAAATACGATACTATTCACGAATATAGTACTATTCACAAATATGGGAAAGACGTAATCTTTCGCCATGGGATCTATAGTTGAAGACAACAAGCTTCGAATTGAGAAGTTCGGCGGCCAAAATTTCAGGTATTGGAGGATGCAAATAGAAGACTATTTGTACCAGAAGGATCTCTTCCTACCCCTCCAAGGAGAGGCGGGGAAACCTGAGAAGATGGACGACGATAAGTGGAAGGTGCTTGATCGTAAAGCACTTGCCACAATCAGGCTCAACCTTCACCAGCATGTGACTTACAACGTCTCGCATGCGACCACCACCAAGGAGTTGATGGAGGCTTTAGAGGCGCTGTATGAGAAGCCGTCTGCTTCAAATAAGGTGTACCTGATGAAGAAGCTATTCAATCTCAAGATGCAGCAAGGAGCTCGCGTGGCGGACTTCTTGAACGAATTTCAGGCTATGGTGCAACAGCTTGCTGCAGTAGATCTAAAGTTCGACAACGAGATCCAAGCTCTTCTGCTACTTTCTTGTCTACCAGATTCATGGGAGAATATGGTGATGGAGGTGAGCAACGCTAATGGCAATGACAAGATGAAGCTCGACATAGTGGTTGGGGCAATTCTGGATGAAGAATCTTGCCGCAAAGTCTCAGGAGCTGAGGCCTCTAGCAGTGGGAGTGCTCTACATGTCGAGGCACGAGGGCGTGCACAGAAGAAGGGTAGGGGACGACGAGGCCAATCAAAATCCAGAGGGAAGTCTAAAGGGCCTAATCTGAATGGTTACGGTGAAGGAAAGTGCTTCAGATGCGGAAAGAAGGGCCACTTTGCACGGGACTACAGAGTTACTGTTCCAGCATCAGCAGGGGATGATCGGGCTGACGGTGCAGCCAATCTCATGCACGAGACGGATTCGGATGCACTTCTCCTATCCCTAGAAGACAAAAGTGATGCGTGGGTCATCGACTCTGGCGCATCTTTCCATGCAACCTCACAACAAAAGCTGCTTTCATCGTTCGTGAAGGACTTGGGGACAGTCTATCTTGGCGACGATCAACCTTGTAAGGTTTCTGGGAAAGGAAATTGTACCCTCAAGATGGAGGGCGGGACCACCTTAACGCTGAAAGACGTTCGGCATGTACCGGATCTCAGGCGGAATCTTATATCAGTCGGGCAACTGACTGACTCCGTTTACAGAGTATCCTTCGAGCAGAGAAGATGTAAGGTGTCCAAGGGTGCCCTGGTGGTGGCACACGGTAAACGCGAGGGGTCTCTCTACATCGCCAACGGGAAGATCGACCACTTGCTTGCCGCAGGACAAGCATCAGGCCACATGAGCGAAAAGGGGATGCAGATTATGGCCGCGGGAGAGAGGCTTCTGGGTCTGAACAAGATCGATCTGACTTTCTGTGAGGACTGCATCCTAGGCAAACAAAAGAAGGTGAGCTTCAACAAGACCGGACTAGCTCCAAAACTGTAGAAATTGGAGTTGGTGCACACCGATGTGTGGGGACCTGCGCAAGTCCCATCTGTTGGCAACTCTCATTATTTTGTCACTTTTATTGATGATGCTACTAGAAAGCTGTGGGTGTTCTTCTTGAAGCACAAGTCACATGTTTTCATCATCTTTAAGAAGTGGCTTGCCTGTGTGGAGAATGAAACAGGCAATAAGCTGAAGTGCCTAAAATCCGATAATGGAGGCGAGTATTGTAGCCAGGAGTTCGAGAACTTCTGCTCGTCCCATGGGATTCGGAGACTGAAGATCGTCCCAGGCACACCTCAGCACAACGGAGTGGCGGAGCGCATGAATCGTACTATCTTGGAGCGCTCCAGAAGCATGAGGATCCATTCCGAATTGCCCAAGAACTTTTGGGCTGAACCTATCAATATTGCTGCATACTTGATCAACCGTGGGTCATTCGCAGCTCTCAGTTATGGGATACCTGAAGAGGCTTGGACCGGAAAGAAGCTGAAGCTAGAACACTTACGAGTATTTGGTTGTGGCGCCTATGTCATGACCAATCCTGCAGACCGATCAAAGCTTGATCCAAAGTCAAAGAAGCTCTCTTTCATCGGCTAAGGAGGAGATGAGTATGGGTACCGTTTCTGGGATCACGATGCGCACAAGGTGGTGCGCAGTCGTGACGTCGTGTTCCATGAGAATGCGGTGTACAAGACCAATGAGGTGAGTGGGAGTCAGCTATCTCCCCCTCTTTTCCCAGATATTGCTGACAGTGAGGACGACGGTGAACTACCTATCAGCATAGAAGACGGAGACCAAGAGAACGTGTCAGATGTACAGCAGCAGGATCCAGCAGAGTTGCCAATCGCAATTCGCAAAGCTCCAAGAAATCCAAGGGTGCCAGAGAGGTACCTATCTACCATGAATTATCTTCTCTTGACTGACAGTGGTGAGCCAGAGAGCTATGAGGAGGTACAGCAGACCGGCAAAGCTCGCGGTGAGTGGGAGTCTACCATGGAGGAAGAAATGAAGTCCTTGATGAAGAATAGGACTTGGGAGCTCGTAAAGCTTCCACGAGGGCGAAAGGCTCTTCACAATCGGTGGATTTATCGGGTCAAGGATGAAGCCGATGGACGGAGACGCTACAAGGCGAGACTTGTAGTGAAGGGCTATGGACAGAAAGCAGGGATTGACTATTCTGACGTTTTCACTCCCGTCGTCAAGTTGACCACGATCCGAACTATGCTAAGCATTGTAGCAGTTCGAGATCTCCACCTAGAACAAATGGATGTGAAGACAGCATTCCTTCATGGAGATCTGGAGGAAGAAATCTATATGCATCAACCAGTTGGCTTCGAGGAACGAGGCAGGGAGGGCCTCGTGTGTCGTCTGCGCAAGAGTTTGTATGGCCTGAAGCAAGCTCCGCGACAGTGGTACATGAAGTTCGAGAACTTTATGGAGGAGAACAGTTTTCTCAAATGCGACACAGACCATTGCTGCTTCATCAAGAGATATGACGAATCCTATGTGATACTCTTGATTTATGTTGATGACATGTTGATTGCAGGGCCCGACTTGGCCCGCATTGAGGAACTCAAGGGGCGTCTCTCCGAGTGCTTCGAGATGAAGGATCTGGGTCCAGCAAACTAGATTCTGGAAATGAGGATCATCAGAGACAGATCAGCACGGAGGCTGAGGTTGTCTCAGAAGGCCTACATTGAGAAGATTCTTGAAAAGTTCGGCATGGAGAAAGCTAAACCAGTGGGCTCGCCGTTTGCAAGCCATTTCAAGCTATCGAAGACCCAAGCACCAGAGACTGCTGAAGAGCATGAGTTCATGGCCAACATACCATACGCATCTCCCGTTGGGAGTTTGATGTATGCGATGGTGTGTACGAGGCCAGATATTGCACAAGGAGTGGGAGTTGTGAGCCGCTTCATGAGCAATCCAGGGAAACAACACTAGAGTACGGTCAAGTGGCTTCTACGCTACTTGAGAAGCTCGTCCGACCGTTGTCTTGAGTATGGCGGGATAGATTTGCAGCTAGAGGGCTTTTGTGATGCAGACTATGCTAGGGACATAGACTCTAGAAGGAGTACGAGCGGCTACATTTTCATCTTGGGTGGTGGAGCGATAAGTTGGAGATCCAAGTTACAGGATACTGTGGCTTTGTCGACAACCGAAGCCGAGTACGTGTCTGCAGCAGAGGCAGCAAAGGAGTTGCTATGGTTGAAGGCTTTTCTTCTCGAGCTTGGAGTAAGCTTTGAGAAATATTTCATCCATTGTGACAGTCAGAGTGCCATTCACTTGTCAGAGAACGACGCATTCCATGCTCGGACCAAGCATGTTGATGTGAAGCACCATGCCATACGGAGATGGCAAAGCAGGAACGAGTTCAAGCTTGTGAAGATTGATACGAGGTACAATCCAGCCGATATGCTGACCAAGTCAGTTCTGCTCGAGAAGGTGAGGCTGTGTGCAGCCTCATATGGCCTCCGTTGAGAATGTTGAAGGCCGTGCAAGACGCCAAAGATACATGACATCCGTATGATGCAACCAAGAGTGGTGTGAAGATATGATCGATATTCAATCAAATCTTCAAGTGGGAGATTGTTAGCAAGCCCCAGCCAACATTTTTGACCAAGGACAAAGTTAGGTAGTGAGTTTTTCCTAATGAAACAAAAGTGTTAGGCAAAACTTAGGTGAAGTTTAAAAAAAAAGGGTTGTGGGTCCCACAAAAGCGGGTCCCACTAATATATTTTATTAATGCATAGTGTTTTCCCAAACACTATAAATAGGACCCCAAACTCTTAAGGAAAACTCATCCCAGAAATAACTCCTCTTATAGAAGAGTAAGAGAAAACATAGAGAGAGTTTGTGAGAGTTCTTGGAGTGTATCTGATCAAGAGAGGGTGTTCTCTTGGATCTATTCTTTTGGGATATAAAAGAATTTAGCGTCGTCGTTGCACCGTGGAGTAGCTCCGAAGAAGTGAACCACGTATATCTGTGAGTACTCTGGTTGATCTTGTGCCTTTATTTTGTGTATTGCGTCTCCGTTAGAGGCGTTCTTATTGGGGGTGTATCCTAACATTTCTAACAACGATTCTAATAATATTTACTGCATGTTAATCAATTCCAGATGAAAGCTGAATATTTTTCATTCGTTAGGCAGCTGAAAGATTTGTTAATCACATACCATTATCTAAACTTCATCTACAAAATTGTAACTCTTTACAAGGAATTAGAAGATTCAGAAGCTACGAACAACTTGTTGATTCAACCCTATAATGTGCGAAGAACATGGGAAACGTTGGTGCTTGAAAACAGTATCTAACAACACCGTGTCCATAGCTTCTGACCCTCGCCTTCTGAGCAAAGTTAGAACATACTCCATGAACACTGAGTCACAAGGCAATACAATAGGACCATCACTTGGTAGTCCAAGCTCATCTTCAGACATCTTCAAGAGTTCTACAAAGATAACACTCCCCAGAAATCTCAAAGGAACCATGAACCTTTTCGAATCCGAGGTATATACAATGAAGTGACCTTTCTCTGCTACCGATGTACTGCAAGCATCAGAATGTAGTTGAGCACCGGTCTGCGATGAGGAGGCACTTTTGCCCAATGAAGCCACCTTTTGCCATTTCTTCGCTATCTCAATAATCTTCTTGGAGTTCACCATTGTTGAATATGTAAATATACCTTTGCTTTGGAAACAAATATTTTGATTTCTAGTTTCTGAGATTGGGGATGTGATGAGAATAGCAGACGCTATGGCCCTCTTCTTATATGAATAGAAATCAGTCCCATGACAGGCTGCGTAAGTTGGTATGCAGTCTTGGAGAAGAAACAGAGCCATGTGCTTAGCAGATGGGAAGATGAAATTTGATGAAGATGTTTGGATTTGGTTGTGCAGTTACTTTCCATTGGATGAGACATAGAAATCAGTCACCATTCTTCTTCTCTTAGACAAGCCATGTTCCAAATTGAGCTTTTAATTTAGGAAGTTGCAGATCTTCACTTCATGAGATTAGTAGGTGAAAACATAAGGTTACGCTGTGAGACGCGATTGTGGTTTAAATTTTGAAGGGCCACCCATGTGTGACATTTTCTCGCTCTTAAGGTACACTTTTTATTTAGAACACATGCTGAATGCATGGAGCATGGTTCTTAGGTTCCACAGATAAATATATGATCGTGCAATTTGGTTGAGGGAGTCTTCAAGGGACAGTCATGTGCCATTGTCTCTCTTCATTGCTATTTTCAGTAGGATACATACTGAATCTTTTAATTGGTGACTTAACTGCTTTCAAACTATTGATGTCTGAAATGAATCCGGAGAACTAGGATATATAATAAGTTTTAAATATTGTTTACAATAACCATATATAGGGAAACATCTTCCTGTCACATAGACTTGTAGGCTGTGTTTGGCAAGCGGTTAAATGAAGGGTTAAGGGGGTTTAACCCTCCATTAGCCTGCCAAACAGAAAAAAAGCCCAAGGGTTAGTTAACCCTCACGTGAGCCCAAAACTCCATTTAACCCGTGATTTGAAGGGTTAACAATTCCTCTTAGATAGGCGGAACAAGGCTTGTTCCGCCTTCTCACGCGAGGGTAGGCGGTGGAATTTTGCCAATCTGGATCTTGGCAGCGGAAATTGGGGAGGCAGCGATCTTTCAGTTATAAGGTTTGTTTCGCAGCAAGCAAGTTCTTCCCCAAATTTGTTTCCCTCTACTTCTTTCCCTCCAAATTTTCCTCTAAAAATTTTCCCTCGCGATTTCCCGAACTATTAATAGGAATATCTAACGGGAACAAGAGAGGAATTTTCAGCCGATTGGGATCTCAAGTGACGGGAGGCAAAGAAAAGAGAGGTATGTTGATTTTGCAATATCGAATTGGTTACCAAATCTTTGCCATACAATCGATTATGTTCATATGAATCTCTTTGGTTGATTGATGTTTTTTGCTCTTATTAAAAGCTTGCTGGAGGATGAAATTTAAGGCTTTTATTCCAGATCGTGATGCTATAATTTCAGAAAATATCATTATGAACCATTTGGTTAATTGTTTGTATACTAAAAAAGCTAGCAAAAAAAAAAGTAAATTGAAATGTACCTGAAATTGGAGAATTTGGGTCGATTACAAAATATTCTAGCTTCTTAATTGCAGAGTCTGACCTTTTCTTCTTTGAAATTGATCTCCTTGGTTCTCCTCTTTGCTTGATAGCTTTATGAAATATCTCAGATGGTTAATGACATGTAATGGTTTAATCTTTATGAAAGTTAGAGAATGTTAATGGTATGTAATGGTTCATTTATAAAGGGCTATATCTTTAACCTGCAAGTTTAACATTACTTTTTGTTTGATGCCTCAGATGACTTAAGGGGGCAAGATGTGGATTGTTGTACAGAGATTTAGGTTTTATTTGATGTGATTGCATATCAACTATAAGTTTATATAGAGCAGACTTTTTATCAAGAGACAGACCTTATTACTAGATTACAGTAAGAAAATTTAATGGCTAATGACTCACATTTGCATGTTTGGTCTACATTATCTCAATTATGTATGTTGTTAAAGTGATTCAGAGGAGGAGCAAGAAGTCTAGTTTTAATATTGTCATACATTATGTTTAGTCTACATTATTTTTACCTTCAATTATGTTTGGTCTACATTATCTCAATTATGTATGCTATTAAAGTCTAAAGTCTAGTTTTAATATTGTCATACATTATGCTGAAATAAACAGTAACAACTATTCAGTTTCCTGGCTACTAACATTTCCCGACCTTGTGTTGAATTGTTTCAAACAGCATAAGTTATTTTTATGCTTAGATGTGATATGATCAATTTTAGATTAATTGTTTTAAGACCCAGTGAATGAAAGATTTCATATGGGTGCCTAAATGAAAATAATGCTTGTGTCTTTCATTCAGCCAAATACACGCACAAACGCATGCACATATCAGAACATTGAAAACCTCATGTTTATGTTTGTTGCTTGAGTGCTTGCTGCTTGAGCTTCCATATAGTTTTGTTTATGCTTCTGGGGAAGGGACTAATTATGTGATGTTGTACTCAATGTTCTGATTGCTTTATTCTCTATTTTATTTCCTTGAGTCATTTTCAATTGCCACTACCAGTTTTATAGAAAACATAAGTGTATGCATGATGAGTGTGAGACACTTGGACAAAGGAGTTGATGATGCATTCCTTTGGTCAAATGACAATGTTGTCGATGTATATTAACTTATTCATTTGCTGAATATTTGATTTATATGTCAATTTCATTAACTGGACTCTAAAAAATGTGCAAGGCTTATAAACAAAACTAAATCATAAATTTTCATTAAAACATTGTACATGCCAGTAAGTCTTCAGTCTAACTGTTTATGTTTTCAATCCTCTATCGACATAATTTCATATTTGTTATAAAATTAATTTGGTGTATTGGATTATATATATATTTTTGATTGAATTTAAATAGAAAACATAAACTTTTTTTGGCTATTTTTTGGGTGCAAAGATTTCTTATGCTTCACCTAATTAGAGAATATTGATTACTTGTTAATTTCAAGAATTTTGTGAATTCATGAAACGTGAGGTGTGGGATTTGTATATTGGAGCCTCTAGTCCTGATTGCCCTCTGAAATTACCTATCCTCATTTACCACATTTTATCTTAGCAATAATTGATTATTATCTTAATCTTACGTATCAATCCAAAACATGCACAACTCCTAGAGAATCTTATATTCTTAAGGATAACCCGAACATGCGACTGAGGACAATGTGCTCCTTATTGGACCCAGTTTTGCAAAGAAGCTGGGGGTGGATAATTCATGTAATGGGAAGTTTCCGGAAGAATGTTACATGTAATATTCTTAAGGATAACCCAATCATTACAAACAAAATGATAAACACTAAACTCCCGCTATTAAAGTCCTGACATAGCACTGGAATTGTTAATTCGAATGGCCTATTACGATTATTAAATCCCTTTCGTGTCAAGATCTCATTATTTGACATCGAAAACCCCTACTGAGTGATTGGTACAAGTCAACATTCCCACTGTGATTTATACTTTCACTCCTACTTGGTCAAACCTTTAAACTGTTAGGACCACAACTAAAATCCCCTCTCGATTCTTTTCATGAATGAGAGGTCTACAAATTAAACGATTAAACCTTTAAACAGTTAGGATCACTCAAACCCCTCATTTGGTCAAACCTTCCTACAGTTAGGGCCAAAGCCAAAATCTCCTCTCGATTCCTTTCATGAATGAGAGGTCCACTCAAACCTTCCTACAGTTAGGGCCAAAGCCAAAATCTCCTCTCGATTCCTTTCATGAATGAGAGGTCCACTTTCAAATCGAGTGATGCCAAAGCCAAAATCTCCTCTCGATTCCTTTCATGAATGAGAGGTCCACTTTCAAATCGAGTGATCAAACATTCCTACAGTTAGGGTCATCTCGAACTCCCGCTTGGTCAAACCTTTCTACAGTTAGGGCCAAAACCATAATTCACTCTCGATAAATGAGAAATTCACCTTAAATTTGGTAATCAAATCTTCCAACAGTTAGAATTATCCAAATCTTTTCTATTCTTGGAGTGGAGATCCCACTCTTAGTTTTACTATTTAGATTCTCAAATTGGAGATCCCACTTTTGAGTTTCTCTTGTAACTAGAGATAGAATATAAAATTCTTCCTCTCCATCATCGGGTTCATCTTTGCCCCAAGAGAAGACACTACTTTTCAACTCCTAAAATTCACGCCTTACACGCGCGGAGAATTTTATCCTGAATCCTAAGTAGGGATAAGTCAGCGTCTAATACGCGTTGCCGGTTTAGTCTTTCACCGATTGAAGAAGACACTAGAATCTAAGTCTGGGGATTTTTATCCCGAAGCCTAAGTAGGGATAAGTCAGTGCCTAACATGTGTTGTCAGGTAGTCTATTCCTGTGAGAGAGATAAAGTCTATGTATTCAATATCGTAGCACTAAAAGAGTTAACTCTTTTAGCACAACGTTACGTGCGGAACGGATTTGAACAATCTGCATGCTAGCCCGACTCAAACGGTAGTTGGTAAAGGCTAATTAAACCCGTTGATGGCTGAGAATTTACCAAAATTCTATAAATGCGATAGTCATTGATGCACCAGCTCCTTTAATTGGTCTCGTGACTCAAGGATCTGACAACTTTAGGATAAGATCCATTCATGCAGATGAATCACCTTTAAAAGTTGGTCCTGTAGCCCCAACATTTAGGACTGTCACGCCCAAACACCTTAAGAGCACAAACTGTGTAGACATCGGTCAACGCGTTGTGATGAAAGTCAATGCCAACCAACGCGTTGCGATGAAAGTCAACGTCGATCAATGTGAAACCCTAAGGTTAACGTCGGTCAATTCGTAGCCCTAGGTCAACGCCAGTCAACGTGTTGCGATGAAAGTCAACGCCGATCAACGCGTTGTGATGAAAGTCAACACCGATCAACGTGTTGTAATGAAAGTCAATATCAGTCAATGCGTTGTAATGAAAGTCAACACCGGTCGACGCGAAACCCTAAGGTCAACATCGGTCAACGCATAGCCCTAGATCAACGCCAGTCAACATATTGTGCTGAAAGGCAACGCCGATCGATGTGAAACCATAAGGTCAACGCTGGTCAACCCATAGCCCT